CAAGTTACAATCTTAGAGTATAACTCTAAGAATTGTTTTTGGAACGATGTATGAATCATCTTCTTGATTTAACCACTTCAACAATTCATAACTCCTCTTCTTAACTATCAGAATGCACTTAGAGGATGAATTGTGATAAGGTCTCAAAATCATTAAGATGATCTTAAAACATGATACTAAAGTACTCTCCCATCATTTCAGATTTGAGAAACTTTTATCCTTCTGCCTAATTTGATTCTTCTCATTCGTTCTGTCATACATTGAAACTTTTCCAATGTCTCAGAATTATACTTAAGCTTGTAAGTATAATCATATTTACTAAGCCTTAGTAAATCATGACGAATAGTCTTATCGATATTTTATGGTGGACTTGATCAGTGCACAAGAATGTGTACTCGATCCCTTAGTCCTTCACTTGACTCACATATACATGTGAACAAGGAACTAGTCTTAATTTTCCAAAGTTGAAAATTCTCATTCATCATACTATACAACTTGCATGATTCCAAGTTTCTATCCAACTGAAACTTGGGTGATGAGAATCTTTCCTTATTTGGTAAATTTGGACACTACCACAAATGAAAGAATCAAATTCATATTTCCACTCTTGCTCTTAATGGAATCTTATAAGCAACAAAGATTTTCACAAATGCCATTGTAAGGATATTTTAAAATAAATAAAATCAAAAATTTTCCTTTTATTTTAAAAACTTTGCGGAAAAAACTATCCTTACAGTGCAAAAGCACATGAAAGCTTTGTTGTTATCTATTCCTAAGCAATATACCATAACTCCTAAGAAGTAGCTCAAGAATCCGATCTTCAAACTATGCGATAGAAATCCATCTACGCGCTCAGATTTAGCATATTATTTCTTTAAGTTTCTTCACTTTTCTTTGATTCTTCAAACATCAACATGTGACCCAGTCACATCATGTAATAAGAATCTCCAAGTAGGAACTTAATAGAGTTAGACAATGGACTTTACATGAAGTAGAGTCAAACTTATTGACTTTAACATCCTTAGGTAAATTTGGCAGCTTCGCAACCAATGCCCCTTCCTTTGGCAATGGACCCTTGATAATGGGACTATCTAAGACTTAGCCTCTCTCTTTACCATTTGGTCAACCGAGTTGACTATGGCCGATCCCTTTCCATTGGGAAGAGAGAGCTTTACTGGATATCCAATGTCATCATTGTCAATGTCCATAAAGTTTTAGGAAGTTGATCTTAGCAAATAGATAAGATCATTAAGGGTCTTTTCATAGTCTGTTTCATAGGAGTCCCAAAGGAACTCACTATGTGACTTGGAAAGTAGTTGAGCCACCAACTTTCTCAAGACTTTGACACCCAACTCTCCCGGCTTGTCAATATGTGACTACATCTCCAAGATGTGATCACACATAGACCTTTTCTTGCCAATAGGGCTTGAGTGACCTTAAACTTTTCAAGAACTTGTGGGTTAGGGAGAATAATTGGAGGAGGTGGAGGAAGTGAAGTTCCAAGAGATTTGGGATGATCATAGATGTCTGAACTAGACATCTTTTGGGAGAAATTCAAGATAGTTGATTTAAAGTCCTTAATATAACACCCAATATGAAATATTAAGGCTAGGACCCAACACAATATTTTATAACTTGGAAGAGGGATGCCATAATCCAAGCTATAGAATATTTGAAGGTAGGTGAATGACGATTCACCAATTTCCACCAAGATAAACGAAATGTATTATTAGGTTTTAATTGGTTTTGAAACTCCTAGATTCTTTTGAGATTCATTGAACTTTTCAAAGGCATGTTTCAATCTCGAGTGTGCCCTTCAGGTTTTGTGACTGGGATGCCGAGGATCACAAAACAAGGTGTGAAGTAACCATGCAAATTACTTGGTACCCTTAAGTGTTTACCCCTCAATCGATGTGCCGGTTAACCACACACGCTCCATCGATACTATGATAAACATTAAGTTACCCTTTGCCTACCTTGTTAAATACGAGTTAGTGTGCCGGTTAACCACACACGCTCCACTAACCGACTTAAACAAAGTGCAAAGTGTACTTTCATGGATTAGCACCTTATTCACATTTTCCTAAGTAATTAAGATTGGGTATTTATAAAAGGTTTAGTTACTTAGTATTTATCATTAATACTTTTAATGAAGGGAGAATTTATAGTCTTTGTCATACCCGTTCGGCTAACGACCCTCCACCAGTCAAGGAAGCGGTGGGTGAGAGTGGACACCCATTAAACTGCCATTTTATAGGCAGTAACCTTATACCCCTTATAGACCGGCTTCGTGAATGAGGCCTACTAACGGTAAGACTGACTTGCTCTTATACATATATATATTATTAACTTAAAATATTATAAAGTATAAGGGTTGAATTTTAACTTTTAAAATTCTAAGGGCTAAACTTCCAAAACTTGAGGGCAAGTTTTGTAACTTTCAAAACTTTTCTATTCCATAACTTATGTGTTTAAAGTAGTTTTAATTAAAAACTCTTCAAGTTCCATAACTTGAGGACAAGTTATGGAAGACTTTAAACTAATTAAGAAAGTGACTCTTCATAATTCATAACTTATGGAAACTTTATGAGTTTAACTAAGGTTACACATATTTTATTTAATGAAGAGACTCTTGAACCTCCACAACTTGAGGACAAGTTATGGAGTCATAAAACCATTTAATGAGAACAAGACTCTTCATTTTGTAACCTATGACAATTTTTTTTATGAGTTTTAAGAAACTTAAATGTGACTTTTCATGTAACTTGAGGACAAGTTACACAAACACATTTTAGAATCAACTTTTAGATTAAAATGGATTGAAAACAACTATTCAATTAACTTTTCTATTAATCTAAGCAACTCATATGAACAAAGATAATTCACATCAAACTTTTCCATGTAGTTAGCAATACTCTTAAACTAATACAAAACATGAATCTTTTGACAATTATCTTTGAAATTGGATTAGCATGAACATTACCACATCAAAAATAGGTTTATAAGTCAAAAAACAGCTTAGGGTAATGTTCCTAGTCCAATTCCAGCCAAAATAGTCGAATATATGCTGTCAGGGGGTCCAACTCGTCGAGTGCACGAACCAACTCGGCGAGTTGGATGCTTTTTGCCTTAGACTCGGCGAGTCCATCAGTGGACTCGGCGAGTCTGCTGTGCAGACAACACTAAAATTCGATTTTTAAGCAGTTTAAGCAAGTATAACAAGAAAACAAGCCTAGGCTCTGATACCACTGTTGGGTTTTAGTATACTACCACTCCTATGGTGTACATGCAACCCTATAAACCTTGGATCTATGTTTTCTCTATTATACATGCAAATATTAACTATTCCAAGGTTTCATCCTAACTAGCATATTATGAAGCACCTATACTACAAAGTTCTAGTTAGATGACATACCTTTTGATGTAGCTTGATGTCTTCAAGCTTTAAGAGCTTAGCCCCAATAGTGTGGAAGCCTCAAATGGAATCACAAATCACCAAAACACCTTGGAAGAACTTGAGAGAATATGTATGCACACTAAAATCGGCCCACTCTTATTTTCACACACTTGTGCCAATTTTGTGAGCCAATGACCCCTTTATATATTATGGAGGATTAGGGTTACATCCATGTAAACCCTAATACCCATGACCTTTCATTTACATAGGATCCATGGGTTAAAAGCTCCATGGACCATCCATGAAAGCTTAGCCCAACCTAAATGAACTTGGCCCATTCCATATATATAAGAGTCCATATTTAATTAGTTCTTTTTGATCACTTAATTAATTCTAAATTAATTCTTGATCAATACTAATTAAATAATATGATACCATATTTAATATATTAGAACTTATAATATATTAATATAAATCATAAATATACTATTCTCAAAAGACTATCCATATAAATTGTGCTGGTGAAGTGCAACCCAAATGGACCATGCCGGGTCGGGTCAAGTACATACCAAATATAGTTATGGACTTAGACATTAATCCAACAGGTATCATCCGCATTCATCATGTTGCGTTTGTTGCAGGTGAGGAATCGGGCCGAGCAGGTTTGAAGGCGCAGGTTGATGCTAGGACATATGATCCATATGCTAGTCATTCTCGCTCAATCCACTCTTCAGCTCTGGATGATGCCCTGCTGGCTTTTGCGATTATAGATTTTGCACGTCTGCTTGGGTTAGGTCAGCTTGATGTGGGTGGGGTGAGGGCGCTATGTGTGTTTGATGAGGTTGAGGATGTTATGTGGGGTGCGGCGGTGGGTACTGCTGGAGGGGATGGCACTGGTGTGTGGATGGTGGGGGGTGGTCCAGTGGTTGGTGTTGCTGGAGGTGGTAATAGCGGTCCCGGTAAATGCCCCATGCAATCAATCATTCGTCGTACCCCGAGACGTCTAGTGTTGCCTTGGTGAATCTAGTGAAGTAGTCCTTGACTGTCTCCCCATCCCTTTTCTTGCACCCGATGATGGAGTGACAATCGCCTTTGTACTTTCGGAGTTGCATGAAGTTGGTTAAAAAGAGGTATTTCAGCTGGATGAAGTTGTAGATGCTACCAGGGTGTAACATTTTGAACCATGACCCTGCATTTCCGTCTAGAGTGGTAGGGAAATATGTGCACCAGAAGCATTCGTCTAGCTTGAGGGATGTCATCGTACATTCGTATGTGTCGATGTGGCTGTCTGGGTCTGTGGTGCCATCGTATGTTTTGAGGTGAGGTAATTTAGCGGTGTTGGGGATCTCATATTCCAGTAAATCCTTCACTAACGGTGATGTGACACGGCGTAAAAGGCAGTCTTGGTTCGGTGTATGTTGGGCAAAATGGTATCCTGGTTGTTGCATTGCCAGGAATGGTTGTACCAGCATGATATTGTAGGCTGTAAGGTCTCGTGGTGTTAGGCCATAGAAGTTTTGTGGCTGGAATGGGGTGGGAAACGTGTGGGCCATGGGGATTTGCTGGTAGGGCGTGAATGGGGGTGTCGGCATGGCTCCTGTCACTAGCGGTGGGTGGTTTTGCGCTTGGAAAACGACGTTTGGGCCGTTAGCAGCGTTATCACTGGCGTTGTTAGCGAGGGAACCCCGATTGACGGTGGTGTTATGAGTGTCGTTTGTCGTTGCTCGTTTGGGGTGTGTATGGGTGGTGGTAAGAAACTGTAACCAACGTTGTTTAATCCGCCGGTGTTGGGAAAATACAGTGGTATAGAAGGTGAAATAGGCGTATTGGGTCCGCCGTCGTTGGGGAACAACGACGGGGTTACACTATTCAGTGTGGGTATTGGTATGTGGGTTGTAACGGAAGGCGCAACTGTTGCAAGAGAAGGTGGCGGGCCACCGGATGGTGGTACCTCAGAAACCGTGCCGGTCGTCTGAGGTGGTGGTGTTATTGGGGTGTTGACCGTCTCTAGTGAGACCATTTGGCGTATCGGGCTATGTGGTGTTTCCGATGGCTAGTCGGCGGCCTTGTCCGCCAATTGTGGCTGGGTTAAAGGGGAAAAAGGGAGAAAGAGTTTGCGTATCTGTTGTCACACAAACGGACGGCGCCAAATGATGCGACCTGGCTTCCGACCACCTAGAGGGTGAAGGCAGTGATCATCTGAGAGAAACCTGAGAGGTCACAAAAGAGAGAAAGCCGTCAGCCGTTCTCCGGGAGGAGGTCCTGGGAAAATGCTCTGACGATCATGTAACATCCCATTTTTCAAGAAGCTTCAAAATTCATCCCCCGGGTTTTGATTATGTCACTTTTGGCCCTTAGTTTGGAAGGAAGTGGCAAAAGGAGGCCCTAGTGGAAAAACGGTAGTTTTGGGAGTGAAGTAGTACGTCGGGCGTACATATGGTACGTTGGGCGTACACATGTGTACGCTGGGCGTACGTGTTCCAGGAAGGAACCCTAACTTTTAGGGTTTGTGGAGAATTTAAACACTTTATGGACCATTCATTCTCATCTCATTCAGCCTCCACACCTCCCTTAGCCATCTTGAGAGAACCCTAGCCTTTACTTGTGATTTTGAGCTTATTGAGTGTGAGTTGGTGTGCATTTTGAGCTCTTGAAGGTGAAGACATTGCATCAAGGAGTTGGAGAAGAATATCAAGTTTGTAGATCTGAAGTTGGTTTGTGCCCTAGAAGCTCCAAAAGGTAAAAGCTTGGAACTTTACACTTATATGAGGTAGATCTAGTCATTCTAGCTTTATGAAAGAGTTCTTGTCCCAAAAGTCCCAAAATGGTGCATGTGATGATTTGGACGAGATGAACTGTCCTTTCAGACTCTTGAAGGGGTTTGAGTGTTAAAAATAAGGTCCCAATGGCTTAAGATGTCCCATGCATGTAGTAGGAAGGTCTTAATGGATTAAGACCTTAGATTAAGAGCTTTCTGGACGTCCAAAGTGTTAAAGTTCGAGACTTTATGAGTCCTAGGCACATTTGGTCACTGGATCTGAGGTTTGGGCTTAAGTGCTTAAGCCATTAAGCACTTATTAGAGTTTTTGCAAAACTCACGTACGCCCCGCGTAAGGTTCTGTACGCCCAGCGTACTGGGTCAATGACCCCGTTTTCCAGTCAACGCGAGACTCATGTACGCCCCGCGTAGCCTTGGGGTACACCCAACGTACGCCTTCTGTGGGCTTTTTGTGATTTGGGCTTCGGGTGTTGGGCTGTTTATGGACTAGTTGGGCTTGGGCCTTTGCTGGATTTTATGGATATGATGTTTTGGGCCAAGTCTTGATAGTGGATCTTGGAGTTGGGCCCATTTAGGAAGTTGGGCCCAATTTGGTAAATTGGGCCAATATTAGGCCTTACACATATGGACTTGTAGATCATGGATTGGTATTGGGCCTTGGCCCAAATGAGAGAAAAGGCAAATTGGACTAATACTATTTGTGGGATTCTTGGTCAAGATTAATATTCCTATTTTTGACTTATTGCTTGCTATTTTCGATAGTTCGGGATTTTTGGCGAGTAGGTGATTCGGGAGTTTGATTCTTCATTTCAGACTGACTTTGCGAGGTGAGTTATTCTCACTATATCAATAGGGTCTAAGGCGCCAAGGCCAGCCCTTTCTCGGATTGTATACTGGTATTTGTTTGATATGCTTATTGATCTGTTAGATCAGCGTCCTGGTAATTAGGACGGTATTATGTTAGTGACCTGGTTTAGGTCGGTATCCTAGTATGTAGGATGATGCTATGTTAGTGACCGGTTAGTTCGGTATCCTGGTTAGGATGTTGCTATGCTATATGATCTGCTAGATCGGTTTGTTTGTCTATGGACTGTTATGTGATTATCTGTTATATGTGCACATGGTTGTTTGATTGGGGTTGGGTTGAGGCGGGCCCTGCTTTGTGCTGTAGGCCAACATACCCAGGGGCGGACCGGATAGACTGCAGACCCGGGAGGGCACATAGTCAGGCCAAAGGCCCGAAAAACGGTCCGGATAGGCTGAAGGCCCCGAGAGGGCGGTCCAGACGTGCTGAGGCTTGGAGAGTGGGCCAGATAGACTGAAGGCTTGGTGCGGGCGGACCAGTCACACTGTAGACTCAAGATGCATGGTTGTTCTGTATTTGCTTATATGATATGATTATGGTTATATGAGGTTGGTATGTTAGGGGTAACTCACTAAGCCTTCGATCTTACAGTTTTAGTTTATTGTTTCAGGTTCAGCGGATGACCGCGGAAAGGCGAAGGCGTGACCGTACACTTCCTCATATTTGATTTGGATTTCTGGGATACTCTGATATAAACTATTTTGGAAACCTTTTTGTAATAACTTTGAGAATTTGAAAGGTTTTAAAAGTTTAAATTTGGCATGAATTTTATGGATGTTACAGATCAAGTTAGTAGTGTATTGGAGAGTAAGGGCTGAGAATCGGGAGAAATAGCTTACTTCTCAAGGCAGAATGATGGTCCTTTTATACCGAGGATGCTCCTCGGTCCGTATGAGGAACAGGGACTGTGATCCCGACAAGATCTGTTGTCCTTATTGGTGAGTCGTGTTCCTCATTATTTCGGGCCCAACGATTGGTACGGCGATAATGCTCTGGATGTGCTCCTTGTCGCCTGAAGCCGTTATCCTTGGACTGTAGTGGAGGGTGGCCTTTGGCGGGAAAGGACCTTCCCCGCGGTCGTCCTGTTAGGGCGCCCGACAGCTGGAGGTTCCGTTGGGGTGCCTGGCAGCTAGGACGGCCAAGCTGGGCCTGGCCAGGCCCCGGTGGGGATTCTCAGCCGGAGGTTCCTTGCTGGGGATTCTCTTGTTCCCGGCCCGCTCTGAGGGGCGTGTGATCCGGCACCTTCCACTACAGGACAAGGATAACGGCTCCAGGCGACAAGGAGCACATCCAGAGCATTATCGCATGGACCAATCGTTGGACCTGACACAACGAGGAACACGACTCACCAATAAGGACAACGAATCTTGTTGGGACTGCAGTCCTTGTTCCTCGTACGGACCAAGGAGGATCCTCAGTATAAAAGGATCACCACTTCGCCTTGAAGGGTAAGCTATCTCTCCCGATTCTCAACCCTCACTCTCCAATACACTACTAACTTGACTGTTGGAGCGTTTTCCCGGGACCTCCTCCCGGAGAACGGTTGGCGACTTTCTCTCTTTGTGACCTCTCAGGTTCTTTTCCGACGAACTCAACTTTCACCATCCATGCGGTCGGAGACTAGGTCGCATCATTTGGCGCAGTCCGATTGTGTGACAACTGATATGCAAACCCATTTTCCTCTTTAACCAAGTAACAAATGACGAACGAAGCCGACTGCGAGCCTTCGGAAACACCACAAAGCCCGATACGACCGATGATATCACTGGAGACAGCCACCACCTCGCTAAGACCACCAGCTCAGACGATTGGCTCGGTTTCTGAGCACCATCATCCGGTGGCCCGCCACCTTCTCTCACAGCAGCTGCACCTTTTGTCATGACCCAGAACCACATACCAATACCCACTCTGAACAGCACAACCCCACCGTTGTTCCCCAACATCGGCGGACCCAACCTATTCTCTCCGCCTCCTCTACCATTGTTTTTTCCTAACACCGGCGGACCAAGTAACGCTGGTTATAGTCTAATACCGCCACCCATTCATGCCTTAAACGAGTCACAAAAAACGACACTCGTAACACCACCGTTAATGGCGCAAGCCACTAACGGACTACCCCCGCTCATGCACACATCTACGATCCTGGCGAATAACGCCGCTAGTGGCCCAGGTGTTGCTTTCCAAGCACAAAGCTACCCATCATTAGTGACAGGAGACATGCCGACAATGCCATTCACACCATACCAGCAACTCCCCACTACTCACACGTTTTCCACCCCGTTCCATCCATAGAACTTCTACGGCCCAACACCACCAGACCTTGCAGCTTACAACAACATGATGATATAGCCATTCCTAGCAATGCAACAGCCAGGATACCACTTTGCTCAACGGACACCGAACCTAGACTACCTCTCACGCAGTGTCACATCATCGTTTGTGAAAGAATTACTGGAATACTAGATTCCCAATACCGCCAAACTACCCCACCTCAAAACGTACGACGACACCACAGACCTGGATAGCCACATTGACACATACAAGTGGACTATGACATCTCTCAAGCTAGATGAATGCTTCTGGTGCACGTACTTCCCTACCACTCTAGACGGCAACACAGGGACATGGTCCAAAACGTTGCGCCCTAGTAGCATCTGCAACTTTAGCGAGCTGAAATACCTTCATTTAACCAACTTCATGCAGCTCCGTAAGTACAAAGGCGATTGTCACTCTATTATCGGGTATAAGAAAAGGGAGGGGGAGACAGTCAAGGACTACTTCGCTAGGTTCACCAAAGCAACATTAGAAGTGTCGGGACACAACGAAGGATTAATCGCAAGTGCATTCACGTGGGGATTACTTCCCGGTTCGCTCTCCCAGAAGCTCATGGGCAAGCAACCTCAGACGAGAGCAGAGTTAAAAGCAAGTTGAGCGTTTCCTACGCCAAGAAGAAGGTGAAGCGTCAAAGCAAGCATACCTCAACGCCATGTCCTCCCCGGCCGGGAAACAACACCACCAATCAACCTCCTACCACGATCCCTGGGTAGGGGGTAGATTTTCAGGGCGGGACAGGTGACCACATGGACGATTCAGACCCTTCGCAAGGTACGACAGACAAGGAAGATGAGCAGAAGTTTACACCGTCGCTGAAAACCCAACAACAAAGGGTACTAAGACGTGATATTGTGAATACCACAAGAGTAGGACACATGACACGATCAAATGCTCTGTTTTAAAATGGGAGATGGAAGAGAAGCAGCTGAAGGGAAATGTGATAGAGATCGCCAAAAGTCTACGAGCTAAATTTGACGCGGAAAACCCTAAAGACAACGCAATAGGAGCAGACTACCGACAAGAAATCCTCATGATTCGCCAC